CCAAATGTATTGGCGGTAAACGTACGCATTTAGCCCAAAAAGGCTCGCGTGTGGAAGCAGCGGTGGTGCACTGTAACAGCTTCACATCGATGAGTGCTGTTTGTCACGCGTTAGGTAAAGAACCACCGGCACGTGCGACAGTATTTGAACAAGAAAATATTGTTCAACGTGCCAAACGTAATGAACGTCTGCGTAAAGCTCAAGAATTGGGTTTAATTGTTCGTAAATCGAAGTATTCTGGCCATAGTGGTAAAGCTAATAAAGACTACGGGCCGAATGCTGAGCGGCCAGACATGGCTGTGAATATTTACGAGCAGTTAAAATACGAGCATTATGAAAAGTTGCGAGTTCAACAGCAGACTCGAGACGAACTAGAGTACATCACTCGCGGGGAATATAAAAGCCAGCAGTAGTGCTGCGTACGTAAGAAGCTGCTAACTGCATCGCATTTTGGCAAAGTTTGTTGCAGAAGAGAGACAACTTCGTGCCAAAATCTGGTAAAAAATATTCTCTATCCCCCTCGACTCAAAACAGCCGCTGTTGAGTGGGGTAAAGAGAAAGAAATTTTGGCACGCGAGCAATTGCAGACGGACATGGGAATTCAAATAAATGACTGTGGGTTGTTTATTGATGCAGAATTCCCATATTTTGGCGCGCGTCTGACGGCATTGTTGGTGACGACACTATCGTCGAAATAAAATGCCCGTATGCAGCGCGGGACATCTCTCCTGATGAAGCGATTGCAAAGAAAGGCGTAGGTTGTTATCGAGATTTTGCTGCGAACGATGATGATCGTTTGAACGAAAGGCATGAATATTATTTCCAAATACAAGGGCAACTGCATATAACTCAAAGAAAATATTGCATCTTTGCAGTTTGGACGCTCTTAAGAATCAAGTACACAATTGTTGAACGCGACGACACATTTTGGCAAGTCAAAATGTTACCGTTGCTAAAACGATTTTACGAAGAATGCTTGGTTCCAGAAATAATAGATAGCCGAGTTGCAAGATATATGCCGATTCGCGAACCACGATATATCGTTGAAGCACAACAAGCTGCAAACGAAGAAAAATGTTATCCAGCAATTAAATACTCGATAATTTGTTTTTGCATATTCACTTACGTTGAACAGATTTGTAGTATTAGATTGCTTTGTATAACGTGGAACAAACATTCAACGGGGGTGGTTTTAGTGGGTATTACCTGCAAATACTGCCAGGTCGAGTCCCCCACTCCGTGCGTAAAAGCATTTCCACCTCCATAAAAAAAAAAAAAAAAACACCACAATTGTACATGCAGAACAGCGGACGAAATTTTTGCAAAGAGTGAGGTAAATATTAACATATTTAATTAACATTTACTCGGAAGAATGCGAAATAACATCTATTTCTGCTTCATTTGTTTTCAGTTTGTCGCGTCGCTCGGCCAAACGCAGTGGGAACCACGCGAGCACAATGAAGAGAGTAACTTACCTGTCCCAATACCAGTCACCTGTTGATCTGTACCCACTGACATGCAACCCCAGGGTACTACGCGCTACGCATATGTATTACACATCATCAACAGTACCTGTTACTACTGTTTCATCATGTCTTGTGTAGGTATTATAGTCTTCATTGGTATACACAAGTACAGAAGTATATGAATAACAAGTAAATTAATTGTATAATTTGAAAACAACAATTATACATTATATATTATTTTTATATAAATAAAAATTAAATACGGCTTGTATAATTTATATGAAATTATTAATAAAATAGAACAATTGAAAATTCGGACTTTATCTGTTTTTGTTATTACCAACTGTTATTTGCCTCCAACAAAATGATAATTGTGGACCCCTGTATAAATAGAATCATAGAACAATTTATAATTAACTAAATAATTTGTTATATTCTATTCTTTCACTTTTTTCCATTTAATGTTATATGCTGCTACATATTACATGCTTCGCTATGAAACATACTTTTTATTGTATCTATCTTACAAGGAGAAGGCACGAATGTTGCAATCGCTTTTGCAACGGTACCCTATGGGGGTCGTAGTACGCATGTAGTACTACAAAACCATTTTGGCTTTTGAAGAATAGGCCATCGTTTTCGAGATATTTTGGTTTAAAGTTTTTTATATGTGTTCTTAATAGACGTATAATAAAAAATAATCTAGGAAGGATCATTGGATTCATTGCTAGAGTATCAGGTTGTAACGCTGCTTGCCCGGGTTTGAATACAGATTGATTTTTTTTCTCTTTTTTCAATTTTGTTTCATAGAAATATACTTTTCATATATTATGTACTATATACTGCATATTATATATTACCTTACACATATTTTGAAGTTAAAATTAATTTTTAACGTACTTGCTGTGGGTGAGTAAGTCTTTACAACGATTGCAGTTTTTACATTTTATATTCCATAATGTTTTGGATTCTGTGCTAGCGATGACTATTTCTTCAGAACAACTTGCACGCAAAGAATCACTATCCATTTTCAAACTTTCAAACCTTCCTTCATGTGACTGTCACGATAAAACGAAATAAACTTACGACCAAACATAAAAATCGTTGTAAAAACTTACTCACCTACAGCAAGTAGGTATTCCGGCATGATATGTTACGTTAAAAAATTAATTTTAATCTTAAAATATGCGTAAGGTAATATATAATATGCAGTATATAGTACATGATATCCAAAAAGTATATTTCTGATAGAAAATTGAAATAAAAAAAAATACATCAATTGGGATTTGTACCCGGGGTCAAGCAGCGTTACAACCTAATATTCTACCAATGCATTCAACGAACCTTGCTAGATGCTTTTATTGTACATCGAAAACAAACACCCATTCTGAAAAAAGTCAAAATGGTTTTGCAGTACTACATGCGTACTACGACCCCCATAGGGTGTCGTTGCAAAAGCGATTGTAACATCCGTACCTTCCCTTTGTTAGTGTGCTTTTTCTTACGTAATTACGTATATTCAAAAATAATGTTCATAAACGTTTTACCTTTTTTATTATACAATATTTTTTACATTGCATACTATCATTACATTCCACAAATAACAATTAGTACTTTATTATGTTTGTACCATATTACAAATATCATATCAGTTGTTTATTATTTACTACTTTGAAATTATCGTAACAGACTATTCTGTATCAATTAATTGCAATGCAATGTAAACAACCTTACCATATACATGACGTTTCTTAACAATATAATATTGAATATATATACATATGCACATATATACATAAAAGTAAAATATATAAGCTCGGGTGCTTCATACTTTTAGTACGGTACTGAACCATGCTGAAAGGCATTTTCAGATTATCGGCACACCAGCAGCAGAAGAGACGACACCAGCGCTGTGGTGTGCTGTGGTGGAGAGCGTGAAACTCAAGCCATTGTGCAAGCGCATCAGTCTTCTCGATTTCATAACGACAACACCATTGTAATTTTATGAGGCGAGGAAGCGACCTTTCCGGCTGATTTTTTTTTAAACTGTTCCTTATAAAATTTCGTTGCGGGGGATACATACACATATTGCAATTTCGCTTTTGAAACTTGCTAAAAATACGTTCAAAGACAAGAAATTTTTTTCCATTTTTTCCAAAAAACGCTTGTCGAGACGATAGATTTATTTCCCCTGATTACGAAATGCATAATTATTATATGTTTTTTTCATTATTGTGCCTGAAAAACGGGAAAAACGATCTAGTAGTTCACCTACTTTCCGTTGGTGGCGCCAGTTTGTCTCCTGCGCACCCTTAAGTTTGTTACAATAAGACTTTCTGCCATACGTTCTATGTGCTGTTGAGGACTTAGGGTTTTTCTAGCGTTCACGCCGCACGTGACAAGTTAATTTAAGATAAATTAAGAAATGTAATATGAACTTTATTATAACTGTTTAAATATAACTAATTTAACACAAAAGTTGAATTTCTTTACTTTAAATACAAGCTTTTAAATAGACGTCTATACTAGTTAACGGTCGCTATGCGAGTGAGTATTAACAAATTGTTTTAAATAAAATGCAATAAAAAGAAAACGAAATACCGTAAATTCAAGAAAATCGTAGTTGGCGTTAAACTAATTTCAAACAGAATTGCCAAACATAAGGGCTCGTTCACATTCCATAACAACGGGCAAACGGGTCTCCGCTGCCATCTAGGAGTGACATGGGAATTAATTTATCTTTATCAAAAGTAGCGATACGCAACACAGGAGACAAACTGGCGCCACCAACGGAAAGTAGGTGAACTACTAGATAGTTTTTCCCGTTTTTTCAGGCACAATAATGAGAAAAACATATAATAATTATGCATTTCGTAATCAGGGGAAGTAAATCTATCGTCTCGACAAGCGTTTTTTGGAAAAAATGGAAAAAAATTTCTTGTCTTTGAACGTATTTTTAGCAAGTTTCAAAAGCGAAATTGCAATATGTGTATGTATCCCCCGCAACGGAATTTTATAAGGAACAGTTTAAACAAAAAATCAGACGGAAAGGCCGCTTCCTCGCCTTATAAAAATTTTCAACTAAATTTTAGATAAAATATCTTCATTTGTGAGAAACTGTAATAAATAAATAAATAAAATTTAGGGGTTTTTTGAGAAATCGTTCTGTACTGGTTGGGAACACTGCCCATAGATCTTCCTAAGTATTTGTTTTGACACACTTGCTAGTGTTCGGTTGTACGTGAAACCGGTGAAACTGTTAAATAATGGTATATTTATAAATTATGATACAAAAAACAAACTATTAAGATATTGTTCATTCTACTCATAATATGCATAACCTTATGTTTTAGTTACCGTTGTCGTTATTAAGGACAGCTCAGAATCATCCTATGGTACGTTAGAAGAATAAAGTTTCTTATACTTCAAGTAATATTTATAAATTATTCGACTAATGTAATACGATAATTTGTAGCTCGTCGAGCTAAAAAATGGAGAAACATATAATGGACATTTGGTTAGCTGCGATAGTTGGATGAACATAAATCTTAGAGAGGTTATATGCACGTCCAGGGTACGAAAACACTTTTAAAAAGTCGTAATCTCTTTTTGTCAGTATAAATATTCTTCCATGTATAATGTTCTTTAGGATGGTGACAAATTTTGGAGAATGCCAGAATGCTATATTCGAGGTAGTACGATTAAATATTTACGAATACCCGACGAAGTTATAGATATGGTAAAGGAAGACGTACAAATGAAATCAAGAGGTCGTGGAGAAATGAAAGGAAGAGGACAAAATCAAAGAGGCAGAGGTAGTGGAAGAGGTATGACAGTGCAATTGTGTTTCCATATTGTTGTAGCAATATTAATATTTAATTATTATTTACAGGCACTTTTGGTCGTGGTGGAAGAGGTCCAGCACCCCTTGGTCATGGTGGGGGTAATCAGGGGGGTAACAAACCTCAAAATAAAACAAGGACAAAATGAAATTTTGTTGTGCTATAATTTTAGTCCAGTACAGATCATTTTCTAACGAATGAATTATTATTTTTATATCTTATTCTTATGTCGCAATTAAGATTTTCGAAAGACAGATATTTGTAAAACGTGATAAAAAATATCTATACTGAGAATCACAATGTTATTATTATAATTTGATAATCGTTCACATATAAAGCAAATGAAAAGTAGATTTGTTTAAAACAAAAAAAAAATACGTATGTATCCCTAAGTAAAGCGCGATTAAAACGCTAGATAATATTACTTAAATTTAATAATAGGTTAGTAATTCAATATACAAATGATTATTTATTAATTACTTATCCTTTTGTTTTACGAGCTATATATACAGGGTGCTCAGACTATTACTAGCCAGCATTTTTCTCGTAAATGCTACATATGACATAAAAATGAAAGAGGAAAAATTTATACCGTTTTTGGTGTGCAATGTGACCAGGTATATAGATCTTTCGTATTTGTACTATTTTTGGAGAAATGAAGGTGACCTTCAGTTTTTTAGATGGAATGGTATATTTTTTGTAGAAAAATATGGTAGAGTATCGAATTCTAAATGAAAAAGTATTGACCTTTATTAGCCCTAAACCTCATAGGTAACGAGTCATTTCACTTTATTATTTGACAATTTGCTTAACGTAATATCAAGATGGAGATTTAACCTTGTCACAGATTTCCGCAGGGCAGTAATATGTACAGGCATGGAGCTCCTGATGAAGTGCTAGGTGACAGGGATGATGTTTTTCTTTACGTAGAATTCCTAGTACACTTGTTTGAATCTCCATCTTGATATTACGTTAAAAACATTTTTCAAATAACAAAGTGAAATTACTCATCTATTAGGTTTAGGGCTAATAAACGTCAATACTTTTTCATTTAGAATTCGATACTCTACCATATTTTTGTACAAAAAATATACCATTACATCTAAAAAACTGAAGGTCACCTTCATTTCTTCAAAAATAGTACAAATACGAAAGATCTATATACCTGGACACATTGCACACAAAAAACAGTATAAATTTTTCCTCTTTCATTTTTATGTAATATGTACCATTTACGAGAAAAACGCTGGCTACATAAATGAAATATGAAAATGAATTGTTTATATGTATTAGAATTATTTTAATAAAAAATTATATTCTTTTACTTACAATTCATTAGTAACGAGGGAGTTTAATTTAAAAAAATTAGGATGCGAGAAATATTATAGATTATTTATAAAAAGAGATATTTATTTCATTTACACGAAATAGAGGACACAAAATGTACTCTTGAATTTATTATACAATTCTTACTCGCTAATCGTGGAATAAAAGTTAAATAGTACTATACACAGTGATAACATGAATTGTTTATTGTAGCTATAAGAGAATAATAATTCGGCTATTATAATTCCAGTGCGTCACTTGTCTTGAAAGTTTGTTGGATGAATGAAAAAGAAATTGTAAATTCATACAAAATATGATTATACTGAACGTAGGTGGACAATGATAAGTTATTATATATTGTTCCGAGTTTCATGAACTGTAATCAATAAATATTATTAATATCAAAAAAATTATTGAAAAATCGCAACAAAATTTATCAGTTAATCCATTTACCTTATTTTAATATTTCAAAGTTTATACTTTGGAAATAAATTTGTATTTATCGTCCTTCAACTAAAATGAAAAAAGAACTCATTAAACAATAGTACAAAAATAGTAAAATATTTCTTTTTAATCAATGTATCATCTTGGAAAATTTATCGAAGTGGTGTATGAAAGAAAACTTACTATATGAAGCTAAGTCTATTTCATCTGGCAATTCTGTAATATTAACATCAAATCGCTCTTGGACGTCATTTAATATCTTAGCGTCACTTTCGTCACTTACTAACGTAATAGCAAGACCCTATAAATAATAATAAAACGTTTGTACACAATAATAGATTACCCCTTATTACTGAAAAATGTATTGATACATTATATTAAGAGATATAGACTATAAAATGTGTGAAATATACTAACTTTAGTACCGAAACGACCAGCTCTGGCTACTCGATGTAGGTATGTATCAGAATCTTCTGGCATATCGTAATTGAATACTATGTTTACACGTTCAATATCCATACCACGTCCAAACAAATTTGTAGCTACAAGAATGCGCTGAAAATGTAAGTATGATAAGTTATTATTCACACACGTTTATTTTAATGTGATATATTAATACAAAACGAAATAAAATCTTGTATCTAATATTTACCTTTTGGAAGTCTTTGAATTGTTGATATCTTGATAAACGTTCTTCCTGAGTCATTCCTCTGTGTATCCCAATAGCAGGAAAATTTTGTTCCGTAAGGAGTTGCGCCAAAGCCATACACCTTTGTACAGATTTTACAAAGATAACAACCTACAGGATAATTTAAGATGTAAACAAAATTTACAGTGATTTAAATATAAAAATAGCTGAGTAAACGGTAAGTAAACAATTTTATCGATCCCTATAAACAAACCTGGTTGAATTCAAGAACATCGAGTAATTCAAATAGCTTCTTGTTCTTTTCATTCTCCTTAAGTTTGACATAATGCTGTTGTAGACCATGCAATGTGAGTTTCGCTTCATCATCCACATAGACTTCCATGGGCTACACAAAGAATGTTTTTTACAAGATTACCTAATTTACCCTAACAACTGTTATACCTTGCTAATTTGTTAGACTCAATGTAACACTTTTTTTTGTGTTCTAATATATTAAACAAAAACTTCAAGTTACTGAAGAAAAAAAAATTGTTGGATTAAATGAAATTATTAAAAAAGAAATATTTTTGAGACATGAAATAACAGAACTATAAACGATAATTAAAGAATGAAACAAATGATGCGAAGATGCAGAGTATTTTATATATGTTCCAATTTCTCCCGCTTCCTTGATAAATGACAATTTCATGTCAGTTACTATAAAAAGAAAATGTATTAGACGATTTCGAGAACTTTTTGTACGTGGTCTCAATTTTTTGTTTGCACTTATTTTGTCGATCGGATTAGTCATACTGGTTACATACGGTCCGGCGACTTCCATCTCTGAGTAGTGCCAACAACGAAAACTCAGCGGTCACCCCAACAGAACTAAGATGGCGCACCCATGAATGTTCTCTGTCACACATCCGCTGGCCAACTCGATGCCAAACCTCTTCTCCCAAATTCTGGTATATTCAGAACGTGCCACAAAATTGGCCATGAATATTCTTGGTATGCTCGGTATATCACAAAACTTACGGCCTCTGAGATTCTCTAATATCGCGACTTAATTAGCTCATAAATCACAAATTGATTTAATGCTTTTGTTTTCATGTACAGATGGACACGTTCGAACTATGCGTAACACTTCCATTGCTTTCCATTCCAATTTCACTCCTATTAATCGATTTACCGACCTCCACTAGATTTTTGGCAAAATATCAAAACGTGTTGTTTTCAATTATAATAACATCCGAAACGCGAGTTAAATTATAAACATATATGCCACATGATTGCAACAATATTGTCGAATTGCTCGATTCTAGCTAATCCCAGTTTCCCACTCATCCTCTTGCATCTTCTTTCTTGCGCTCTTCTGTCTTCAGGTTGTCTTGAGGTCTTCTTAGCCCCCCACCCAAAACGAAAACGTGCTTTCGACGCTGTTCTAACTCGTTTAAAAATCTACCCCTCCCTTTGCACCTGCCTCGATCTTTACCCATACGAATGTACCAATTTTTTGTCCACCCATCCCATCCCAGCGTTTCCCAACATTTGTATAACGTTATATCGAACATTGCTTTTTAACTGATAATTTCAATATGCGGCAGATAATTAAAGTACTTTAATATCGAAGTTTGTAACTAAATGAAATACTTTTAAAGCATCGCCAACGTTATCTTCATTAATTTAGGAAACGACAGTAAACGAAGGTTTGAAGGTATCGTTCCTTTTTATGAGCAGATATTGTCATTCGGTAAATGGAGGGAAACTTTGGAGCAGCAACTAGTTACATTCAAGTCGCAGAACTTGATTGTTTTATCAAAATCCAAAGACATCGAGGGATTTTTGAATTGCTTTGCCACTTCTTCAAAGTGTTGTCTAACTAGCCTAACCCGCGGGTGCGCCGTCAACAATATTTATAGTATGCTCTGATCTTTGTCCTGGGTATGAATACAGGGCCAACGAAGTAGGAGCAATCGAAGATCGAAGTGAAGAGGAAGATTGGTTAATTACATCTTGCATAAATTTCTTGCAGACAGGACGTATCTCCTTGGATAATGTAGCGCTGAACATCATGACTTGCTTGCCGTGTGGAGTGCTTCTAAATATTTCCTGTACATCCCTACGCATATCTGAAAATAAATTTCAAAAATATATTATATATTTTATTATTTAATAATAATTATAAATGTTTGTAATTACCTAGCAATTCAAGCATTTTATCACACTCGTCAAGTATAAAATGTTTCAGGTGTTTCAGATTCAACTTCTTATTCCGTACAAGAGCAAGGATACGACCTGGTGTACCCACGACAATATGAGGACACGTGTTCTTCAGGACTTCTTCGTCTTTCTGAATTGGTAAGCCACCAAAAAATACTCCAACCTGTAATTTAAATACACAATTGATTAAATATACGATTTTCATGTAACTTTAAACTGTAACATTAAATATAAGAATCTTCGTCAGTGGTGGATGGTAGTGGTGAAAAGTGTCATCATTCTTTGCTATGATAATAGTTTCATCATTTGAAGATTCTTTAACGCTAATTTAATTGAAATACTATATTTTTATGTTCTAGAGTTTAAATAGTATAAAAATGAAGCTTACCTTTACATGAGGCATATATTTGCTAAATCTCTCATATTCTTTGCTAATTTGAAAAGCAAGTTCTCGCGTGTGGCACATAACAAGAACGTATACTTGGTTTTCTGTTAATTCTAATTGTTGTAGAGTTGCTAATACAAATACAGCTGTTTTCCCCATACCAGACTTTGCTTGACACAGTATATCCATGCCAAGTACTGCTTGAGGAATACATTCATGTTGTACTGTAAACAATATTTATGCAAAATTAATATTTCATTTAACAAGAATACAAAGTATTTTATGCAATGAACACTCAGAATGTTGATATATATCATTCATATAGAATCAGTTGTCCCTATCAAGATAACATCATTTTATACACAAATTATACCAGCACATACTTAGGTAAACTTGTAATGTGAAATATAATTTAATTAAATAAATTGATAATTACAATATGTGAAAGTAAAATATGGTTACCTTCAGATGGGTGCTCGAAACCACAATCAACAATTGCACGTAATATTTCAGGTTTTAGAAGAAAATCTCTAAATCCACTACTATGAATAGATACATATGTGCCTTTGACTTCCTTTTTAGCAGGAATATCTCCACTTCCATCGACTACTTGTTCAGTCTGTTCCTCATCTTCGTAATCCAAAAGGTCATCATTATCCGCCATTGTTGTGTGTATTTATGAATTAGATTACTGGTGAAATTAAAGAATTAACATTATACATAGAAAAAGAATATTTATACAATTAAACATGTTTATTAACATCATAAAATTAAATTCCACTAGAGCCACTCGATTATACTAAATTTAATTGTTTTTTATTTTAAAACATCAAATTAACATTTTATAGTCTCAAGATATAATATACGTTCCTCAATTATTTATTTTTTTATTAAAAATATTTGTGTGGTTATTAATTAGATGGTTATGTTATAAAACATCCTTTTGATTTCCACTTAATTAGAGTATAGAGAAAAAAGGGAATTCAATTTCCATTTAGAAAAACTATTGAATTAATTAAATACCAAAAGTACAATAACTGCTGAAATATTTCAACTATTCACACGAAAAATAATTATGCTTACAGTGCTTTTGTTATAAATAGATACGAAAGTCTCTTGAACACATTGAAACATAGTAAATCTGTTTCAACGTGCTTGCCTGCGACGATAACGATTTTTGTGGAAACTGTACACGTAACGTAACCGCCATTTTATTAGGAACGCTTAACATTCGTCGAAAGAAAAAAGTGAATATACGCCATAATTCAATTTCATTTACTACTAGATATTTCATTTATGGATGTGTACTAAGTACACATATAAACGCGTGTAATTATAATTTATAGAATTCATAATTTCAATATCTGCACCTGTACACGTTTTAAAGCATCACACGGCTACAAGATAAACACTTGCGCATCATTTAATTTTCACAATAAACCACAACCGATAATAAAATTAATAAATCGTATCGAAGCATTAGAATATTTTCTATTCAATTAAATATATTTTTTGAATGGATTGATTTACGATAGACAAATAAAATTGGATAACATACGATCGACCTTACCTCTGAACAGAACTCCAACTGGCTCCAACAAACTGACGCTACGTTCACCGCCGCTACAAGCGGAACATTCATGAAGTCTTCCTACTTCCGGAAGATCGATGGTGCCATCTACAAACTAATTTTCTAAAAAATGTATACATATACGTACACCTGTATTACAGCTATTATGAAAAACATACGCTGTCTAACATTTAGATAAAAGTTTTAATTTAAAATATGAAATTGAACTTTTACGCGTCATTACAAAATAAAACCAGTTATATAAATATTTACTAACTTATAAATTTCTGACGGTTGGCGGCAACGAAAGCCGGATGTAATATCAAAAGAATTAGCGCCTTTTTTGAGAGCTAATATTTAAACGTTTTCAATTAAACTTAAACAAATTTGTTTAGAAATACAACTTTGAAATACAGTAATTCCAAATATAATATTATAGTTTCTACCTTAACTACTGGAAAATTAATGTTTATTGCAACGATGCTTAGTATTGTTTAAATATGGTAAAGTTTATTTAATAACATCACAGATACAATAATTATGTACACAAATGTCTGAGAATATCCTAGCCTGTTGGCTAGGCATTTCCAGCTATCCCATTGTCAATGTAAGCACTGAAGTACTAAGTTTCAGATAAAGGTGTTCCATAAGGGCGGACATTTGACAGTTTCGAAATAGAAACTTCGATTTTTCGAAATCGTATTGTTAGTCTAGAATTACGGCTCATTCTAGACACACGTTTATGTCTGCATTACATTTTGTTAATCATTAATATAAAATTAGCAGCCGTCGATATTACCCCGACTGTATTACAAGTTGTCTTCCGACGAGGACAATTTATCAAATACATAAAGTTTCAATTGAGCGTCGTGCCTTTGTGGAGGCGCGGCAGAATCTGGTTTTACCATCTGCGAGGCACATGGAGGATCTATGTTACGGGGTAATAATGTGTGATTGAGCTCAGGCATCGAGGCAGTTGGATCCTTTAGAGGCAATGTTACTTCTCTCAAAGAGTCTGTAGGTGAGGGAGGAAGCACCACTTTCTCAGGAGCATTTTGAATAAATATTACTCTAAAAAATATTATTGATAAATATCAAGATTAAAATGTACAATATATAATCCAAATATAATTTCAATTATTTAACCAGAAAATGGAACAATTATTAATTTACCTGTTAAATGCTCGCCACTTTCTGCATAGTGTAAGGTATGTTTTACATTGGATATACATAAAAACTAAGCCCCCTGTAGAACCAATGACAACAACTATTAGCTTAGTCCAGAAAGACCAGTCCACGTACCCACGTCTTGCATCTTCCACAGACCGTTCTACAAGTACATATAAAGACCAAGCCACGCAAAGTGCAGCTACTGCATGGAAAGCAAGTGCACGCCACAATTTACGCACTTCTAGGGTTGACATTTCAAGTTTCTCCCACTGAAAATAATCAATGATTGTCTTTCTTTTACCGTAGTGAATGGGAAAGTAATCATTTATAGTTTCATTTGTAACAAAATACATTATACGCTTATACATGGAAAAGAACGCTACCTCACAGAATGGTTTTGTTTTAGCATGCATAATAAATGTGAATTTACATAATTCACAAGCACGCGTGTCTGAAGCTTTTATCCATTGTTGAAGGCAAGCCTGATGTACGTAGCGCAAACTGCCACTACAATAACAAGGTGCCAGGAGAGGAGCACCTTCTTCACCTTCGCAATGACATATTCTATGATAAAATAAGAAAATACATTTTTCTATGCTTTATCTTATGTGTCCTGACTGCTTAGTTTTTATATTCTCATATATTCATTAAATGTTATTCTATATGTACAACAATTCCCTAAAAGTAATATTAATAATACTGTGGGTGTAATTTATAAAAATTCTTCTACTTACCTGCAAATATCATGATTGCTCGAAGACAATGTACTCACAGATGAGTGACAATGATCTGGTATGATAGTAACTACTGTTGCATATGTTGATTCCTACAAAGTAAATATTCTATTAAACATTTTTCCCTTAAGTGTATCATATGTGTTCATTGAAGTTCATTAGCTATAAATAATTAATTTGAAAAGAAGACAGTAATAGTGAATGAAGAAGAATATGTTTGATATGATAATGTTTAAGCAATTAATAGAAAAATGTGTGAAAGATGTGTACCCTTGGTGTCCATTCTGGTAAACCTTCACCAGTAGCTGGGCTATTGTTATTGGCAGGACCAAGAGACAGAGGTGGTTGCCAGTCAGGCGGATTAACATTGATCTGATGAACCGGCATTACTCTCTGACCTCAGCAAAGATGCGATCAGTAGTAAAAACCATTAGCAAAACACATCCTGCTGATTGTTCGGTAACTTTTTTCCATCAGTATCATGTTTAAGCACATATTGATAGCTAATCGCAGAAAGACATTAATTTCATTGTGCATCTAACAACCTGAAATTATATTGTAATTTAGACAGTATCATTTACAATTGGTATCTTCTAATATCAATTAATTTTACTACCAATACTAAAAACATTGTAATGATATAGATTAATTGATATTTAAAAAAGATTATACAGGAATATTTATATAAAAATATAAAAAATATACCAAAGAAGAACAGAAATGTTTATTGACACAAACTATGCCCATCCACAACAATAAATTTATGATATAAATGTTAGTGCTATTAAGGATCAAAATTAATATGATATAAATTTATTAAATTTCACGAAATGTCAAGCAAGTTGAACAATGAATTTTGATCTCCTTATCACCATAATTTATGAAATTCAAGAAAATATTAAAAAAACGTGGTATACAAAACTACCGACAAATGCAACACTCAAGATGAGAAGTGCTCAGCAAAAAGAAAACAAAAGCATTGGCGTCACGTACATCTTTTCGTTTCCGTGTAAAGCTACTGAAGAAGTAATAACAGTTTTCTGCCTGGTAATAATGATTGGCTAAAAAATACGTAGTTTTAATTGTTCAATTTCGTTCGATCAAATGAGGTTTCATAAACAAATTTCTAGCGCTTTTTCTAAAGAAACTTTTGGCAAGCACAAGACAAGTCAAGCTTGAACGATTTTGACACTTCTTCTCGAGTCAATGACACAATATAGGAAACCCGTGTTCACTGCGGTAAATTAATTAACTTTCACAATTCGATATTCAAATTATTCGCGAATAATATCTGATCTATCATCATTCACGTTTCGAACACGCGCTATAAGCCGCATTAGTATTCAAAATCATTATGGATACAGATTTCATTGCAGAACACAGTCCTTTCTCCATAACAGACTGTGTCGACTGTGTATCTCATTTCTCTGATACGCCTCCATAACGCAGAATGTAGGCGTGGCGTGTGCTTAGAACCAGCCAATCCGCTGTATCTAAATGACATTGAATACAGACCTGGCTAAAATTTGAAATAGAAACATTCTACATACTAAATAAAATAACATTTCAGGTATAACGTGAAAGCTGTAAGAATGAAATATTTTTAAGTAATAGTCTAATTAGTCACAAAATAGTCCAAAGATATTTTATTTTATACTACCAAAATATTTAATATAAATATACATATTTAGTTTAATTTTGTTTAATTTTGCTCATTAATATAATATATATATTATATTAATATTATATTAATGAGCAAAATTATACTAAATTGTAAACTAGAGTTGCATTAGGGTTGAAATAAGAATATTTTAATTCATTCTGAAATTTATTTTAAGAACAATATAATATTCATCCATACCATTATTACACTACACAATTTACTTTCCTTATTGTTATATATTTCACACACTTTTTTATTTATATAAATCTAGTATAATTATGTAGAACAAAATAGTAATACTATCTTTACAACCTTAATGCTATGAAAATAGTGAATGCTTTTAGTTTTCCTATACTAATTTTTACATGTAATCTGAATCATTTACTTTTGTAGAAGAGATTAAATGAGTCTCATTAAAATCATCTGAAGTAGTGCAATATAAAGTTTCATCCTTCTTGTCGCCATCGGACTGTAACATACTGTTATATGTGACCAGATTGATATCATTTTCTGTGGAACTTTTTAATATATTCAGATTCATCGCAGAATTATCCACCTTCTGAAGATTATCATAACCAGTAGTATCATTAATCAAGAGATCATTAGACGAATTGTTAATCATTTCTGCCAATTCTATGCTAGTACAACGTTTTGACCGTTTTAATATTTTCCTTTTGTTGGAACTGATGTTTTTAATATTTATTGTGCCTGAAATATTTGAATCTTCAATGCTTATTAAGTCAGTTCTAACTGATTTCGCATCAGCTAATATCTCGTGTCTCATATTTTCAAATTCAGAAGGATCTATATTACACACTTTGTCTTCCTTAGGATCTAGGAAAATTTCATCAGTTGTATTATATCCAACATTATCTTCTACGCTTATATTGTGTAATTGATTGACATCATCGAAAACAATTTTTGAGAAATTTGGACTGTATTTCTTGTCTGAAGTAACATCATTAATATTATCTTTGAAATTATTATCCAATTTTATGAAGGAAACTTTAGATGCTGATTCTTCCTTGCAACTTTTGTTTTCATATGGTGACATGCTTTCAGAACATGTACAAGAATTTATATTCTTATGCAAATGTAAGTTCTGAATATTATCTTCTGAAGAATATTTAATTACTCTTTCATTGCTAGATGGTTTAAGTTCTGTGAAGAAACAATAAGTATTAGTAACAATGTATATACATACGTAATAATGTCATCTATGCTGTTTTTAAGTATATTTGAACTCATTTTTACTTTACAAAGAACACTAGATTTATTTAATTTTGGTAAGGATTTATATGTACACTTACTAAAGAATAAATTATGAAATTAATTCTATACAGAAGGTTTTGCTACATACAGATTAATACAGCAGTTAAAAGGTTAATGTATAACAATAAAATTAACTTACCAATATTTTGAGACTCTGCAGCTGGTGTATTTAAAAGTAACTTTCCAACTAGTAAGCCAGCTACGAATATAGATAGTACATGTACAATGAAAGAAAACATAAAAAATATAATAATTATCAGATTTTGAAATAATGTTTACCCGCCATTCCTATTGCAGTGCTACCAAAGAAATATGGTAGCTTATTTTCCTTCTTTTTAAACATTGCTTAGTCTCAATTATATTAAAGAAAAAGACACAGAATACTATTTAAGATGTATAATTAAATTAATTGTATAAGCTTTATCCTTTCAGGCATAAAGGGAATGTTACATTCATGACCATGTTAGATCAGATATACTGAGGACATTTGAAGGTGGCAATAAAATGTAAACAATGAATTTACTTTAAAACAAAATGTATCGAAATGATTAAATTTTAAATATGAATTCAAGAGGAATTTTGCATTAGCCTCGTCAAAAATGAAAACTATGTTAATAAATCTAAATAATTGAATTATATACTTATATTAGAATGTATTCATTTGAATGAATTTATATAAAAGTATTTTTATTTCTTGATTATATCAAAGATTTAAAATAATTTATATAGCTTTAAAATAAATTGTGTTTAAATAATTGATTGATGACTTAAATGATGAAAGAAATTATTAAAAGGACATAACAAAGAAATTACTAAACAACACAAATGTGACAAACAGAAGCCTATATAAATTAGAAATATAAACGGGTACAATTTTGGAATTTGGTAGATCTTTTACATGTTGGACATCTTTTTGAAGTATGTAAAGCTGTTTCTAAACACTGCACACAGAATACATGCCCGCAACGAGTAGACATAGGTTTTATTTCGGTAGAGTATTGTTCGTAACATATCGGGCATGATAATGCAACTAAAGTTTCCAATGAGGAATCATTAGCATTACAAATTCCAAACTTTTTTAATGGTTCAATTTGATCTACATTTATGACTTCCATTGTTGAGCATGTATCTTTACTTGGTATTTCTCTAAACGAAATATATTTTATTAATATTAAATAAATTTGATTGAAATTGATAGAACAATCTTATAAAGATGATAAAGTAATACATACATGACAGAATCATTAAGCTGTGTTGATTGCTTAGATGAATTACGATTTCGTCGTCTTACTAGTGCTGTATTAGTGTTAGATATGTTTTCGAAATTTCTATTTTGTAATCTCAATGTTTTATTCGCTGGTAAATCTATCGTTAAATCAATATAATCTATTGGATTCGACATATTTTGTACAATTCTTTATCGCGTCCTCACTCACAACGAATGTGAATATGAATGCGTGAATGAACTAATGAACTTTCCTAGAAAGGTTAGAAAATCATCGATATGTTTAAATTCGTGTTTTAACTATGTAACATCGATATATTCATTTATCGCAACTATTTACTGGATAGGTAAAGTTTAAATTGTACTAATTTATAACATCTGTAATTATAATTATTAAAAATTTAATTACAAATCGAAGTTTAGCAACCATTCTACTTACACAATACTTCAACCAACGAAACGAAATTTCATAAACAAAACCACGTGCCATGTGACTACAACAAAATCTCATTGGTCTGCTGTCTTATTTGACATAAATAAATTTTTATTTGTATTCCTTTATATATTATCTCTTCTTAAGTCTTTCACTATCATTGTTAAATTTATAAATATTATACATAAATAGTTGCAACTTATACAGCTTCTACTGAATTTGTCTTTTGAAATTAAATCTTTAATCACTATTGTTAACAAAATATATTTATCCCAGTTTATTTATGAATACATACTGATACATTTTATTATATTCTAGAAGTTTTAGGACTGGGATTACTTGTTAAAATTTATTTGATTCCAACAGTGATATTCAGTAATGTACTTTGTTTAATGCCATAATGATTACTATACTGCACACGTTCATTTTAATAAATTAAGCATTTTATAATATTTATAGCCAGATTTCATTATATATAATTAAACATTTTTCAGTATATTTAAAGTATATATAATAATTATAAAATATTATAAAAGTATAGAAAATACATAATTGATAATATCAATGCTATTTAGTTTTGTAATACTTTTTAAAAATTTCTTGAGCATAAATTATATTAAAAATTATGCACCTCAAATTATGTTAATAGCTAATATGTAAACTTAATTATATACAAAAAATGATATAAAACATATGTAGGCACTTTACACATTGCATAGCATATAGATGTATGTGTATTTATGATATGTATATAAAATACTTTAAAAAATTGTTATGCGATAACTTTTTACTAAATTTCGTAAAAATGTGACGTGTATTGTTCTTGTATTTTACTAGTTTTCAAGAGCACTTCCATTTGGTGTATTGAAAGTATTAACTTAAAATTCTATATACATATTACATAAAAAAAGGACCATTTCGCATTAAACTTAAAATAAACAATTATTTGAAGGTACTTTTACGTATGCGAAGTAACTTTTAGTCTGATATCGCAAATAGTGTATGCTCCTTAGTTGGTCTAATATACTTTAACTTTTTATAATAGTTTTTCTTCGAGTAATATGTCATTATAACCTTCTTGTAGTCTTTTATGTAAAAGGAGAATGGACTTGTAATATTCTATATGAAAACATTACGTCCTTATTAATTAGTATAGGATTACATAATTTACATACAATAAATGTTCAATTTACATAATACTATTTAAAATATTTTAAAAAATACAATAAAATGTTTCGATTTACTCATTTATAGTAACAATAATTACATACCATGATAATAATAAAATGAAATCTCTTCAAATTAGATATGAATGATACTTTTTAGTATACTTACAAAGGCAATGGTATATGATATTGATTTCAGTCATCCACTCAGCAAACGTATATTACATCCTGAGTGGATAGTTCAGTTTCAATTTATACAAAAAGATTTTGATAACATTCAAATGGTTCTAAAATGGACGGTTAAATTTGAATACTTTATAGAAAAATACTAGTAAACTCTTAAATTTCTTATATAAAACACCTGGTTACATTAATGAATGATGAAAGAAATTATCTTTGGCTATTATATGTAGTTTGATGAAGCGCGTCGTACCATTAGTTAATGAGTGTCCCGATTACTTTTATTACGATGACGCAGTAACGAAGCATCTAAAAGAGAATAAGTACCAGGTTCAAATACTGGTGGATATTCAAGACCAGGATAATCAGGTGGAGGCGATGTAGGCGGTGGTATATAAGGTAATGTTGGCGGGTTTAACGAATTTCGACCTGTAGTGGTAAATCCTTTTTGACATAAGGAATTACTTGCACCACTCTATAAATAAATTTGTCACGTTATAGTAAATATCTAATACAATATTTACAAATATTTATGTTAGTTAAATACGCACTTTCATTGACAAGTTTGGGGTACATGGCGATGGTGTGTCTGGACTCCAATCACTAACAGAGCTAACCGAACTATAACTTTGACTGAGGGTTTGTGGACTATTTCCACTGAAGGAACTAATAGATTGACTGATTCCACTATCACCTGGACTTTGGCTATTTGATCGACTGGGTAAACGTGATTGATTGTAACATTTGTCTCGAAACAATGCTCTATGTAACCTTGGTGATCCTGTGAAAATAATATAAATAATATTCGTATCACATGTCTTATTGTCTAATATGAAAAACAAGTAGTATAAAATGGAGCTGCGATGAAAATAATTTTGTTTACCTAGCAAAGTTTTTGGTGTTTCTTTAGGCAGATCAAGCGTGCAAGGCTTTTGTTGACTTTTATTTCCAAATAAATTCCTCAAACGACTTGGTTTTTGAACCTGTTCACCTTTATCCAAATGCATTTCAAATGCAGCAGTCATTCCCTCTTGTTCAAATGGAGAAGTTGGTATAGGTGGTGGTTGGTACTGTGCTACATTTTTTAAACGAGTTTTATCATGATCAACGTCCTTTTTATCGCTTCGTCGTAAAGAGTCCAACCAATGCTTATCTGAAGAATGATCGCGACGACTCGTTAAGTTAAAACTTCCTTTACGACTTACGTTTGCATCTTTTTTTGCGAGTTGCAAAGTTTCATAAGCATGATACGTAAGATCGTTGGTAGACCCAGAACAACCTAAAATATAAATATATTTTTTATTATTCAGATATATCATGCATCATCAAAGATTATGTTTCTCCTTAATCGTAAATTGAAATTAAATGATTAACGGCTAACATAAAACTTACCATCGGTGCGTATAAGTCGCTTTGGAAGTTTGTAATAATCATATGATCTAGAAATGTCATGATTATTTAAATGCTGTGCTTGGTACATACAAGCATTATGCTCACAAACCATATTTGTTTGTTTATCAAACTTTTCAGCAGTATTTGATTTACTATGATATAAGGAAGTCACTTGTTTTTGTTCATGTGTAACATTCTTAAAATGAGCTGAATCACACGGTTTCGCTTGCGCAGAATTTAATCCATCCAATAGATTTTTTTTATGAACGCAATAAAATTCGTTTGACCTTTTGCGAATTGAACATTTTGACGATTCACCCTTATTTTCATTTCTTTCAAAATCGAAATCTCCGCTTAATTGTCTCGTTGCGTGTACATTTTCCATATTTCGCGAGTATCCATATGATGCAATATTATTTGCCACTTCGCCATTATTTTTATTTCGACCATGTACAATGTCATTATTAGCGGTTATATCAGTGGTAATTTTCGATTGTTCGTTAACTGTTCCATTGTCATGAAAATTTCTATGTTGAACATGAACGTGATCGCTGGTTAAAGGTGTCATTCTTGGTGATACAGATCTATTCCTTGTTATTTGTCCTCGATCTTCTTGTTGTAATAACATGAATTCTTCCAATGTGATAAAATTTTGTAGCTCGTCAGGTCTTCTATTTCGGCTATTAAGATACTTGTATTAAAATATTGTTTCACTATTTCCTAAGACTCTATGCAAACCAATTAAGGATAAATCACAGGAATATAATTGGTAAACCTTTACGTTTAGGGGAAAATAAGTTAAAATAAGAAAGACATGCATAAAATATAAACGTATAAAATACATTTAATCGATATTTAGTGTAAATTATTTTATTATACAATGAGAAGTATAATGATACTTATCAATATTTTTTAATCACTTTTTCTAATTAAAAATATATTTTTATTATAAAGAAAATTGTATGGTAGTAATTTAAATGGAATAAAATTAAAAATATTAAGTATTGTGTAAAAGAGCAACAAAAATGGTGTTAGCTTTACATGCAGTCAAAATTGTTACCTATCTGTGGTACGCCTGTAATCACCCATATCCTGAGAATTGGTCGACATATCAGTAGCACTTTGAGATGCGGATAGTCCATAAAATGTACTTCCTGCAATTGTCATTTGTAAGTCTGGTGAGTTAGGAACAGAATCTTGTTTCCTGAGAAGAAAACTTAGTATTATAATTTTATTTGAAACAAAGTATTTCTTCATAAAAAGTTATTTGCCCCTATCAATTTCTTTGAATAAATTTATATAGTATTCTTTATTAAGTAAGTTTACTTGTTGGGCATTGACGTGGGAAGCACTCTTCTGTAACTCCGAAATTGCGCAGTTGGAACAGGTATATTGTGATTTCTTGTACCAAGAAATTTCAAGTATTTTCTATCTAAACTGGCACCACTAATTTCATGATCTTTATATCCAGAAGAATCTTTGCGAATAACTTTCTTCAACGAACCAAACGATTTCTCAAGATTTGGTTTATGCTCTGCGGTATGAACATTCTTAGGTTTAGCTTTTTGTTCGCCATCGCTCTCATCTGTTTCGCTAAAAAGAGCACTATTTCTACTGTGACCATCCGCCCCTAAAGTCGCTTTGTTAATTGCCTCTAACCACAGAGAGAAAGAATCTTCTGTATCAGCAGAAAAATAAAATACCGTTCCTGTATGGTAAACTTTGAACGCATATTTCCTTGATTTCACTTCAGCAGCTCGTGACACAGTAAATCCTGTTAAAGATATGAGGCAATCTGCTTTTATGCTGTTTTGCGTTTTAAACCTGTATCCATAAACATTATTCGATAAATATTTATAATAATATAAAATAGAACAGTGTTCTTTAAACTTCACCTCTCCACTATATAATATACATTTTTTGTTCTAAGGATTCGCGGGCCACAATTTCAGGAACACTGAAATAGAATATATAAGCTTAATTAACAAACCTGTATAAAGATGAACATTTCAAGACAAACCAAGCTTTAGCCCAAGCACCACCTGCACCTCTTGTGCGATATGTTAACCAGCTTTCTAAATCACCTGTGCCTATATCTTTGACAGAAATGTTTCTTTTCCCTAATAAAAGAAGCAAACCAATTCAACAATAAGTATTTATAAATTGACAAACAATTTCTGTGTACTTTAATTTCTTACTTGCAAATAGTATGCTCCGTTTCCTGGTACTTCTAGGACTACTACTGGATGATTTGCTTAAACTTCCATGCAGTCCAATACTTCTGGCTACCATCATAGCTTTATTGACTACACCTTTCTCTAAATGTTTCTCCTTTTCATAAAGTTTCGATTTATGTTCCAGGGATTGAAATTGCTTTGAAGAGCACGAACCATCCAGAGAGTCCATATTTTGAAAACAAGATTCAGGATTATAGTATTCCATTCCTGAACTAGAGTAACCAAATTTGTCAACAAAAGGTTCATACTTATCACAGATAGACTTATCTTCTTTTATTTGCTTATCATTGTATTCTCTGTACGAAGAATCAACGTTTAAACTAGGTTTGCATTCGTTCCCTATAGTATTCATTTCATCCATAAACTCTATTGATTTTTCTGTAAAGCTATTACAAACATCAAAGTAATCTTGCTTTTCTTGAAGATTTAAATTGCTTTTAGTATTGTTTTCCACGCAAAATTCTGGTTTCTTTAGATCTCTTCTAACAGTAGGCCTTTGATGCGCATAATGTTTTTCTTGATCTTCAAGAGCTTTCGAAGTGTTATCTGAAGGTGAACTTGTTAACTTCGAAAGGTATGTACGTGGTGGGGGATCTGGAGGTATTAAATGAGATTTAGGTTCTGACTTTATACTAATTTCAATCTTTGTTAATTCTTCGTATTTGCAAGATTGTATCATATTTCCTTGACCGATTACATTATCAATTTTTATATTACCAGTCTGTGTTGTTTGACTAATCTGAATTTGAGGAATGTTTTGAATAATAGTTCGTGTGTCATCTTCGTCTTGAGTTTGCATTTTCTCTTTTGTCAATGCAGTCGAAAATTTCTTTTCCATTAGTTTTGTGTGTTCTATCGAGGCACAATTAAACGTTCGGAAGACTTTTTCGAATTTAGTCAAATTTGGATTGCTTTCACTATTATTCTGTGAGTAATTATTTCTCGATTCTAACTTATCTGCCTTTACTTCATGATTCAAACTCGTATTATTTGCAAAATTTCTAGTGCTAAATGCCGTCTTTGATACATTTTCGAAATCGACGTATAAATTATTCATTACGTTTTTCTTGTCATGTTTATTTACATTGGAGATAATACATTCATTATTGCTTTGGTTATTTTTTATGCTGCTTCCATGACTTACACTGGTTACTTTGCGCATAAATGTTTTATGAGAGTCCAAGCGAGTTTCAACGCATTGTTCATCGTTATTTTGCGTATCAGTATTAGTAACATTTTGAACAACATTACTATCAAGATTTGCACAAATACTTTGTTTTTGATCGTCAATATCTTTCAACTTTTGTTGATCTTCCAAATTCGTAGAAATTAGTTGAATATCAGTCTTAGTTGCAGTTACATTGCTTGCATTATTCATAGACGATTCTAACGTACAAAATAATTTTTGTTTTCTGTCTTCTACGTTATCAGTATCCGTTAAATCATATGCTGGTGTACTGTAACTTTTATCCAATTTTCCACGCTCTTTAACACTACATATACTAGATTCTTTACCGCTTAGCGTATTCATACTATTGCTATGTCTATCTCTAATAAAATTGTTGCACTCATCTAAAGGCACGCTTGTATCACTCAAATTATTATTATTATTGGTAACAGTAACAGGTGTTTGAGGAATCTGGCTGGGACTATTACTAATGGTTAACGTTTCCTCACAATTTTGAGTATTTTTAGATTCATCCTTTGCTTCATGTATTACGTTAATTGTATTATCTATCCGAGGAACATCAGATTTAACAGATTTTTCTAGAAACTGTAGTTTCTTGTCATCAGCTTGTCCATCAACCTTTTTCTTTCTTTTGCTTTGTTCTATGCTTATGCATGTTTGCGGTCGTATGCTTGATGGTACGTTATCTAGGCCGTGAGCACAAGATGCAGCTTTGTCGCGTAACTGAGATGTTGTACTGTGTTCCTGTTTCAATTCTTTCCAAAACTGTTCGATATCAATTCCATGCTTAGTAGTAGGACTAGCACCAGTTATAGTAGCTCGTCGTTGAACCGAATTTCTTGGTTTCGTTGAATACAATCGAATCGATAAAGGCGGTTCGGCTTCGCTATCTGAATCGCTACTATCTATGATCATTGTGTCTAATATATTGACAGTATCTAAAATACTTGCAGGTTTTGGACTGGGATTCTTTGGCATGTGCCTAAACAAATTCAGATTTAGCGTTATACAAAGGACTAAACTTTATATGATTGTACAGTTGCGGAATATAGATAAGAAAGATATATGCATGTATATAATACCTGGGTAATGGCATTGTGAAATCTGGTATGGTCAATAATTCTGGTCTTGGAGATGGTAAATTATGTTGCCACCTCGTCGTGTATGATGTTTTCTTATTGCTGGGAAGTCGATATGGTTTTATATAAATCTGGCCGTATACTTTTGTGTGCCTCGGTCGACGCTTTAAAGTTAATAATACTTCGGCTGGACTTTCACGAAATAATTCTAAAAGGTTTTTCCGTTCCCAACCAACTACAGTCTGATAATTTACCTAAAATATTTATTTAAATTACTAATATGCAAGTCTCAAATAAAAAAGAAAAACTACCTGAACAATTTCGTCTCCTTCTTCCATTTTACCGCATTGATGAGCAGCTGAACCAAATTTAATTTCAGCAATTTGATGAGCTCCGTGAAAAGATGGCAAAATGTAAAATCCCTAGAAAAAATGATATTTTAAATTTTGGAATCATCAAAATTAAATTATTAAGAAGTAGTCCTTTCCTTAAATCAACTTTTAGTGTCTTTATTTAGAAGAGGAATTCTAGAATTGCCTTGTATTACTAATAAACAATTATCTGAACAGGAAGTCAGAAATGTGTTGAATCAATGATTACAGCTTTATCTCCAAAGGATGTAGCAGATAGTTTCTTTTGGAAAGGTTTTAAAACATGTCTTACAATTTGTGTTAAATATACTGTGTGCATTATACATTGTTTAGGAAAAAGCAACATAGAAGAAATCATTTAATTATTTAATTTGGAGGAGTTAGAACAAATATTTACTTTGTTTTTATCGATTTTTCCAAGCAAAAACAAGTTGCTCAATTGCTTAAAGAATTATTTTTTCCTATATGTTTAAAATAATTTATATTATTATAAAACTTACTAAGTCATCTCCAGGTTTTTTTTTCAAAGTAGCTAGATCTAAACTAGCAGGTTGCAATATCATAGGATCGGTAATATCCTGTATTATGTAATCTGCCAGTTTTGCTAGTTGTCCACAGATAGTTCTGATTTCTTCTATAGGTTTTTCTGCGAATCTATCTCTTTGTGCACATGTGGCCATTTCTAAAGCTAATTTCATTAGATCAGCTTTTTTATCATTATATTCTAATTGTCCACTAAAAGGAGGACGATCCAACCATCTTACTAATGGCTTTACAGCCATTATAACTGATGCTACATCAGATAACGTTTGAGTTGTAACAGGTTTGGAATCTGTCTGACGGCACAGTTCATTTTGCAAACTATGAGCTTGACAAGATAATCGCAATGCTAGGAGTTGTAAATTTTCACGATCAAGCTCGTAATGGAAATTCCTCAAATACTCTACAGCTTCAAGAATAATTTCTTGATGACCAAGCTTTATTACTCCTAGGTGTTCTAGATCTTCCGGTCTTAGACTTAATAGCTGTTGTCCACTGACGCCATGATTTGTAAAACTATGTACATAAGGTAGTACAGAATTATCCAATCCTACAACAAAAATCATTATTGCATTGACAGATAAAATGTAGTAGTTTAAAAAAGATGTGAAATTGGTGTTAAATACAATTTTCACTTTTATTTCCTGCTTTAAAGTTTATACAATTTACTCTAGCAAAAACTTTTCTGTTTCATACATCATAGATCATGTTCATTGCTGTAACACTACAATGTAACGAGTCATATCAACAAAGATCGTGCTAATTAAATTTAAGTATCGCTGAAACGTGAAATCGCAAAAATGAATGAAATCGTTACTTGCGCTCGTAAGATATATCTACGATTGAACGTATTCTTTGCAAAGTAACACATTATCTGTGAATTGCACACTCGCAGCGCATGATTAAACGAATCAACGCTGTTTTTTACATTTAATAAAGTAATTGATCGAAAGAAAAGAGGGAAGAAAAGAAAGGCGCGGGCGTGTATATCAAATGAATTTCCCCAGGCGAATTTCAACGATGCACGAATAACGAAGGTCACTCGTTTCCTCTGGACATAATGAAAAATACACTTATCTAAAGGAAACATAATTTTTCGCACCTTTTAACCATTCACACACTTGATCAATTTTCCATTCGGCAACATTAACATACGCCATGACCCGATCATGTATTGGATCACAAAATATTACAGACTTTGCTCGTCTTCGATCGTTCCAATTTCCAGCTCGCCCTGTCGATAACTATTAAATACTTGATTCAACAATAACTGTATGTATACAGAGATCCATTAATTCGTTCCGTTTGAGGGGAATACGGCACGCCAAACACATCCCCTTCTCTTTAATGGCAAGCTTTCATTTATTGTGTGGATAAAAGACTAGATGGCGTTATTTCAGTAATTTATAGTAGGTAAATCGGTTATTAAATTCACTGAATAGATTATAATTTATTAAATACATTTGTGTACATCTAATTTGAAGATGAGCACGAATTGTGCATGCATCGATTCATCAAAACATTATTAAACGTATTTTACAAAAACTTGTTTGTTAGATTGATAACCAACTATGAATATAGTATGGATATTACATGTATTATAATACATCTTCAGAATCTAATGACATAGTAATAAATAATAAATATAATTCAGAATGAAACTACGTGTCAAAAAAGTTTGTGAAACAGTGGTATATTCTATCTGATACAAAATTTAAAAAAAGTAAAAAAATTACGTCAAGTACATCAAAAAGTGGAGGACTCAAGGAGTTATCATTGAAAAATAGAAGATCCCCATAAAAAAACTACAAGAAAATAGAAAAAGATATGAAATCAAAATAAGCTGCCAGATGATTTGCCTAGATTTCCGCGGCCTGGAAGTCAAATGCTTCGCGTGGAAAGGCAAGGCATTCTTAGATCATCAATACCCATACTTTCTCTCTCACAGACTTTCAGATAATTCAAATCATCTGGTAGCTCATTTCGATTTCACATATTTTTCTACTTTCTTGTAGTTTTTTTATGGGTATCTTGTATTTTTCAATGATAACTCCTTGAGTCCTCCACTTTTTCATGTACTTAGCGTAATTTTTTTACTTTTTTGAATTTTTTAATTGGATCTCACTTCTTTTTACAAATCGTTTATTATATAGAATCTATTTTAAATTTATAAAAATAAAATTTATATTTCTGTAAACTTTACATAAGAAGTCTAAATTATTATTTGTTTTTTTAATGGGTTGGAGTAAAATAAAGAAAGAGGGGATAACCAAAGCGAATATATATATATATATATTTCATATAATTTATTAATTATAAACTCTTATTCGATCAATTTATAAATAATTATATATACCTGCAATTTTTTTTCTTGCTCCAAGAAATTTTAATGTTAATGATGAAATGAGAAAATGACTCCATTTCTATAAGCTCTACATAAAAAGTTTAAATTCAAAACACTTTCGCGGCATGGATCTATATTAAACACAGTTTTCTGTATGATTAAAGGTATCTCGCAATTCAGATTGTGACAATTTACCTTGTAGTTAAGATTGATCAACACTTTACAATACTGGCTGCAATTTGTTATTAAACCCTACATCAAAAATCTAAATTGAAAACATTTTGCTGATATAAATATAATTAATAACGCAATAGTGTAAAAACTTTTGACATTTAGCAGGTTATAAATGATGACATCTGTTTCGACTCTGTACGATCGATGGCCGACGAGCCATGCCGAACCGAATGATTCTGAGAGTCGACGAACGACACTCGGCTTTTGCTTAGCTTCTATTGGCTAAAGGTTGACGACGGGAAAATCTTACGAAAAATACCGTTTCTGACAGATTCATGACATGATATTACGATATTTCAGTTGTACGTGGACCGATTTGATTGATTTTGGTTTTATTCGAAAGCTTATATGCTGTTTACATCAGAAAGATGCCATTGAATTTAGAAAATATTGCAGACATGTTGATACATTCATGAAAGAAGTTTCAGGTTAGGTTGGAATGGACCATCTCTCCTGTAAAAGATACGTGGTAGTAGCTCCAACGCCATGTATATATTGTGACGGACCGGGCGTGGGCGGCCGGGAAAGCCACAAGTCGACACGCTCGGTCGCACAATTTCCACGGACGACTCTTTTTACTAAATTTGGGCGCCAGTGCAAAGTGCACGTGTCCGCTTCCTTCGTCCTTTCGGCTGCTCTAGAGGAGAGTGGGACTCAGGTGAGGTCGAAAGGAAAGAAGTAAACTGTGATTCATGTAACGTTTGGTTAATAAGGCTTCTATTTGTCTGAAATGCTCGCGTGGGGAATTCCGCGGTACATACACCGCAAAGAAGAAGGTGTGGCGACCACACGCCGAAAAAGAACCGCGACGCGAAATTCTCGGTACAACTCAACGTTAAAAAAAAAACGGAGGAGAAGCCCGATGTGGGATGGGATGTGGGACTTCCGAAGGCCCACGCCCGCCTAAGCTACATGGGAAGCGCCTGGATCACGCGAATACTCAACAGGACACTTCCCAGGTAACATGAATCCCGGGGGGAGGGTGTTCACCTCCCCCACGTCCTACTCTATAAGACCCCGAGCGGAGGGACCCAGTGTCGCCATCCCCGGGGCCGCCAATATGGGCTTTCCAAACCCCCGCTCGGTCCACCCACGGCTCCCGACACCTTCGTGCCAATTCCGCAACAGAAGACTCAAGGGTCCCCACGCAGACTGGGCAAGAAGATGCCGACACCGGTAAGGGAGATTCGTCGGAGGCATGATCCGGCACGCCCCGAACCTCACCACCGCAGCCCCACGCGCCCCAGAAGGACTCCGTGGTCCTACTGGGGACGGTCCGACCACAATAGGTCGGCCTGTCCCGAGGGGAATCATGGCCCCTCCGGAGGCCAGGGTCAGCTAATGCCCTGGCCTCCCACAGCCGCAGACACGGTTCGCGCCACAGGTCGGCTCGGGGACGGCTGCCCATTCACCGCTCCCTCACGCTGGGGTGGAGCGCGCCGGCGAGAAGGCCGTCCCCGCTGCAAGACCCGCCTGTTCGAGCGCGGGTCATGTTCCCGGGCTCGCTCAGCGGCCTCTTTCTGCGAGATAACCTCCGCACAGAAGGAGGTCGCCGCCTTCCACGACCTCTCGCTCGAGACCATGTGATCGACCAAGACCGCGAGCGAAAGGTCCCACCCACCCACTGCTGCTCTAAGGGCACGGCGCAGCGCGGCCTAAGCCGGACACTCCTCGAGTGTATGCCGCGCCGTGTCCACCTCCTCGCCGCAGTGGTGGCACTGCGCCGTCGGCCCCCGCTCCATCCGGTGCAGGTACTTTCCGAAGCATCCATGCCCGGAGAGCACCTGCGTGAGGCGGAAGGTCAACCTTCCCCGCGTCCCGCACCATACATCGAATATGGGCAGGATGGTCCGGACAATCGGACGGCCCGATGGATCAAGCTCTTGTTTCCACCAGGCCAGCGTGTACCTCCGGGCCTGGCGCTTCAGCAACTCGACCTCCTCTACCTCCCCGGCCGCAAGTTCCACCCCCAGAGGGCGACGGGCGGAGCGGGCGATTCTGTACATCGCCGGGCGTTCCGCCGCCGCCAGATGGAAGGGTAGAATCATGGCCAGGAGTCCCGCCGCCTCGGCAGGCGACAGGGGGCACCTGGAAATAATCCAGCGCCACCGCTATCTCTCTCCAGGGCAGGGTGTTGAAGGCGTTGGATATGTCCAACGACACAGCGATCAACACCCGACCCTGAGCGACAGCCCTTTCCCAGAGAAGACGCAGATGCTCCAACGCGTCCATCGTTGAGCGCCTCCTCCGGAATCCGTATCGGCTGTCGCTGATGTTGGGACCACCGCGCGACAGGTGCTCGAGGAGGCGGGCAGCTATGATTCTTTCAAAAAACTTGTCCGCCTCATCAAGCAGACACATCGGCCGGTACGCAGAGGGAGACTCTGCGGGTTTTCCCCTTTTCTGGAGGAGAACCAGGCACGCTTTCTTCTACACACTGGGGAAGGTTCCCCGGCGCAGGTTAGCGTTCAAGACGCTTGTGTAAGCCGGACCGAGGACACTCAAGGCCAGAGACAACACGCCACCGGGAACCCCATCGGGGCCAGGTGCTTTCTTGCCCTTATCCCGGAGCCCCCGTATGGCCTTGGACAGCTCCGACTGGCACCCGCGGTCAGGTGGGGAGGTATTCACTCCCCACCGGAGATGGCACTCCTCCCTTCGTTGGGGGGGAAAGGCGCGGGGGGGCATCGGTAGCGTTCGTAAGAGATCCCGGTGCCCCTCTCCAATGCGCCGTGGCCGGCCACCGTGAGGTTTTAGTGGGTATTCCCCTTGATATCAAATCAAGGGGCGAGTCCCACACTACCCCCTCCTTATGAGGGGGCGTGCGTAAACGCATTTCTTCATGTAAAAAAAAAAAAAAAAAATGGACAGCTCCGACTCCGTGACCCGGAATTTGTCCGACCACTGAATAGTCGCGTCCCAACCGTCCCTCTCCCTCATTATTGAGGGGGAAGAGGGCATCCATTACGCGCCCCAGAAATTCCGGGTCTAATCTCTCGGTGACAGGGGACGCCCAAGGGCGGAGCTTCGGAAGCACCACCTTGTATGGGCGCCCACACAGATCGTCACGGAGAGTGAGCAGGAGCTCGTCCCACGCTCTGGCCTTGGCTGCGGCTATCGCGTGCTTGAGGGCCACCGCCACCGACCTGTATACCCCGTACAGTTTCAATCGTTCGATCATTCGTTCTCCTCCCTGAGGGCCTGGCCATCCGCCTGCATCCTGCCCCACAGGGGTGCAGTCGGTGCGCCGACGCCTACAAGGGAAGAGTCATCTTTGACCCGGGCCTTTTTGGATTCCTCCCGGGTCACAGGCGGCGACACTGGCCGGTCAATGCCAGCACGGCGTTTTGCCCCAGCGCAGGAAGTCGAGGACATCGACGTCACAGAAGTGACGTCATCCTCGGGATCGCCTGGCCGGGACCCCGCCCATGGAGAGACCGAAACGCGACCGGGGCCGGCATGACCAGCTCTCGAGCTCAACGAGGCCCTAGAGCTGAGCCTCGATGTTACGGCCACAGCATCAGCCGCATCCGGCCGCGGTAGTCCCTCCAATACCACCAAGCACTTCCGTGCCCCACCCGATGTCCCAGACCTGGATGGTCCAGGAACATCTCCAACTGCAGGTGTCCCTGCAGCCCCCCTCGTCACCTCTTCTACACCAAGGCTTGTTTTAGTATGATCCATGTTATTTTAAATGTGCTTTCCTCGGCTTCGGGCATCATGCCACCCCCACTGCAGTAGGGGTCTGTCCACCGGTAA